CACACACACACACACACACACACTCTCTCTCTCTCTCTCTCTCTCTCTCTCATCGGTGAAAGTAATACAGGGTACGTCAGAAAAATCTCCCACATAAACATCCACAGAAATACCCTACACTTAATGGTAAGTGATTAGCTGGATGAAGACACCATCGTCACTAATATCCTACCATTATGTGTGAGGGCTATGTAGAAGGTATTTATGTTGCACCCTGTCATAGCTATTTCCTTATAAGGAAACATCCAACATTCACTCACCGAGCAGCCAGTGCTAGTCGAGTTACGAGAGTTCTCAATTCAGAACAGCGAGGCTTGAAGCGTTTATCTACGCCTTACCACGTGAAAGAAGAGAAGGTCCCAGATCCTTGCATAAAAAGTGTGTATTATTAAGAATAAGGGTATTCAAAAAATTAAATAAATAAATGGCACATTTTTGTATTAAGTATGTTGCTCGGTTTGGACCGATTCCATCAATAAATCAGCAAGGATTTACAGGTGGAAAAGAAAAGAAGAAATCTCCATTTTGTCGAATGTCTTTTATTACCTTAGATAATTTCGCCCAACAAAACCGCCTCTGATGACACAGCTTCGTCAAGTGATTTTTAGTATTTATTTATTAAAGAGAAACAATTTTTGCAATTATTATTTTCCCAATAAAATCAGAGGAAAAGAAAAATACAGATAAAAACACCTTCCTTAAATCACATCTCAAATAGCAAATAAATATATAAGTGAATATTCCTCCTGAGAAAGGGATAGTTGATTAAAACTGGATATTAATGCAAGGTGAGAGATATGAAGATACGCATCATTTTACTCTATTCCCCCTTACCCCAAACCACCTAAAAACAATTTTGCGATTCCAGTTTTGGAAAACATGGTTCCGTTTTAGCAGAGTGATGTTTGTGATGGCACATTTCCAAAGAAATAAGAGACCTAGAAGTAAGAACAGATGGAATCGATGATAAGAGACCGTTATTATCATTAAATACACAAACGGCCAGAAATCGTATTCATTGACACAGATCTTCAATCAAACGAAATCTCCACATCTCTCTTTACATATTTAAAAAAAAAGAAGCCGTAACAGGTATACACTTGAACAATCACAGAATGATACATATTTCAAAGTAAACGTAAAAGGGACACCTCGTATATGGGACAAAGTTTAAATAGAAATCCATCAAACTATTACTGCCGTAGAGAGTTACAGCTTTCACATAGAGAAACTCACTTGTAAATAAAACTAAAAGGCAATCCACATCATGAGACAAAAATTAAAAAAGATCTCAGGCCAGTACTGTTGCAGAGAGATAGACACTTCACATTCTTCTTCTTCTTCTTCTTCTTCTTCTTATATGTACAGTGTCCTTTTCGGACGTGGTCGTTCATGGCTCTTCCTTACTTACTTGCTTTAACTATAGGTTTCTTTAAAAATATTTAAAAAACAGGAAAATTTCATTAGAAACAAAGAAATGAGTGCTGAAATGCGATTTAATATCAGTCCGGTAAGTAGACAATTTCCTCACAGACGGAGCAGAGACACGATCCAACAGAAATGTGGTTCTACAGAAGGATGCTGAGAATAACACAGACTGAACATGTGAGCAAAAAATGAAATTTTACAGAAAATGGAAACAAAAAGGACACTTCTACTTAACAACTGAGATTTCTTGGACATAATGAGAAAAGAAGGATTAGAAAATTTGACACCCACAGAACATATTAAAGGCAAGAGGGATAAAGGAAAGTAGTGGGTAACCTACCTAACAGGATTAGATGACAGAACAGGTAAGTGATAAAAAGTATAGTAAAAACAGAAGAGATAGGATATTGTTATGAGCTATGATCACCCACAACCTGAAGAGACCCGGTACATAGAAGTAGTACCAGTCCTACTAGTGATAAGGGCCTCCAGATCCGAGCTTTCTATTTGTATTCGAACATCAGTCATTAATAGCCCGGAGAAATACACGGCAAGCTCTTCCATAGGATAATTTACTGATTCATTTGATTTGATTTTTACGATTTACCAACCCTTTTGTTGGCTTATTTAAAGCCGAAACATGTTTTGGAGAGTAAGAATAATTCTTTATTTTTATTTATTTATTTATTTTATTTTATTCTTTTTTTGACGAGTGAATATTGCATTATTTTTTTTTTTTAAATAACAATTATTTTCTCAGATACAAGTATTATTACTTAACTCATAGCTTGGGTGCATTCATACCATTCCCAAGGGTATTTGCACGTAAGTGAATGTATCGAACCTGACTGGAATTCGAACTCGGCTCTCTCATTCCTAGGCACTATGCATTAAACCAGCCACACATCCGCCTGCTACAGGAAAGAGCAATCATGTATGTTTTCGTTCAACTGAAGTTCTTATTTTTCAAGATGAAGAAAACATTTGAAAACAAAAAAAAAAAAAATACAAAAAGTGTGAGGTAGGGGAGCGTCGTTTACATTTATTTATTTATTTTTATTTTATTTTATTTTTTTACAAACAGAAAAAATGTGGAAGGTAATTAGATTTCTCCCAGACATTTTGGGATCTTCCAGGTAAACAAACAACAGTTATTGTCCTGAATGCAAAATAGTTCCTGGCAAGATTCGGGGAGATTAAAGAAAAAAAAAGAATTTTTTTCGACTCTTTCCTCTTCGTTGGACATCACTTCTTCATCCTGAAATGCTTTCAACAAAGCTAAGTTTAATTCTGTCAAAAAATAAAGAAATAAAATAAAAAATAACTTTGCTAGCAATCGCTAACAAAGGAGCCAAAGTATAGACATTCTTGTTCACACTTGACTGCCTGCTCGCAAACGGCTTCAGAACTCATTGTCAAGCTGATTGGTTTGATAAAACAAAGGTAGAAGCAACTGCCAATCGCGACACACAAATGGAAGAGAAATTTATTTTTTGATTTGATTGGGGGGGGTAGAGGGGGTTAAAACAAGTTTACAACATTTATATCTTTTCATAGTTGGATTTCCAAGAGCCAGAATTAAAGAAACTTACTGTAAAAAATATAGCACTAGCCACGGAGCCACTCAAGGGAGAATGTTACTGAATGATGTGTTATATGAATGTATGATAAGCTGGTAGGAAGTAATGATTATAAGGATAGATAACCACTGACTCTTGACTTGAATAGATTAAGCTGAAGGCCATATCTCGTTGAAACACCGGTTAAGCAACGTCGAGCCTTGTCAGTACCTAGATGAGTGACCGCTTGGGAAGACCATGTGCTGTAAGCTTGGATGTGTGGGTGGTGTAGTGGAAAATGGCTCGGGAAAGGTATGAACCCGCTCCCACCTCCCGAGATATGGGTTAATTAGTAAGACTTGTATCACTAAATCCTTATTATCTCCATAACAAAACGAAAAATTCTCACCATCTAAAAAATATTTTTCTGGCTTTAAATAACCTGTACTGGGTTGATACGTCGTAAAAAACGAATCAATCAATCAGTTGAAGAGGTTAAGATTATAGTGTTAGGGAAAGCATTCTTGAGAAAATGACGAGTTGAACTTCCTCCTTGAAATTATGGAAGAAATGAGGGTTATTTAACTCCATTGACGTTGTACTAGTAAATCATCAGTTACCTCCCCTTAATATCTAGGAGGTATAAAAAGCACCCTATAATATCCGTCAGCAGACGAGTAGCCAAAGTGCAATAAATCTTTGGTATGAGTTTATTCACTGGTTCTGTTTTTGTTACAGGCGTAGCGTAGGAATGGAGAGCGTCTGTAATTAAAGATTGTGTGGATAAGTAGGATAGATAACGATTGACCTTTGACTCGAAGAGGCTAAGAATGTAGTATTCAGGAAAGCATCCACGTGGGAGCATGTTCCTTTTTGGTTCCTTGCGGTAAAGCTGTATGAAGGGAAGATCCTCCTTACAAATGGAATGCAGGGGAAACGTCGGTTATTTAACTCCGTGGAGGTAGCATAGTGGGTCCTCGTTCTAAAGGTCTAAATGGAGATGATCTTAACATTTGTGCAGCTCATCTGAACAGACGTATACGATATTTGCTAAGCATATCTTGGTACGGCACAAGGCTACGAGTATGGAGTATATCAAAACCCAGCTTGTTAGACTTTCTCCATTCGGGCCGAGAGAAACTCAGATGAGTCCCTGCCTACGGGTAGAGTCTCGTCTGGGGAAGGGTAGACAGCAACCCGACCCCGTATATGCAGAGTCTGCGGGGAAATTTTGAGCGAGTATACGTGCTTGGAAAGCCCCACGTTAAAAACGGGCCTTATGCCAAATCCTGAGTATGGAGCACCAGGGTTAAAACACAGTATGGTATTACTAGTCTTCAAGAGTAGCGTGTCACATCGTTGCACTCAATGCATTTCCTATGAAGATCTTCGGAATCCACAATATTTCTCAGATTCTGCTAATAATGGTAATAGCCATTTCTATATCACAACCGTGGGTTTAGAATTATTCATTCTTAACTACGGTACACAACGTGTATAGACAGGTTCAAACTAGACTTCACCGTCAATCCCATGATATTGGGAAACCTGAATCAACCCTATCGACTTGGCGTTACAGGGGTTAATTGGTAAGTGAAATCTCCAATCCTACAAACAAAATAATATTTAAATCATTACTCACATGAGATACAGTGAAGGCAAGAGGAACAGAAAGCAACAGAGTATAGCCTTGCTAACAAACTTGTGTAACTAGATTGCAAACTAGAGACTGTCGGATAGAAAGATGACAGCCAGTTTCGAGCTACAAAGCACAGGAAGTTGTAATCGCCTGCATCTTGAACGTAAACAGATTAACTTCGTAGATTAAATAAAGGGTTCAGTTGAAAATTCGCTGAAAATTACATGAATCGGCAAGCAACTGATGAAAGCTGGGGAGAGGGTGGAGGACAACGGTCGAAACAACAACTATGAGGATATTTGTCGTCGTGTAAACAATGTAAATAACGATAATGCCTCATCCCAGAAATTCAAATTGCACCGGGATTCCAAAGTTTATATGGCACTTAACTTAGTTATGCACAAGGCTGCAAGAACGAGTCGTTTAGTGAGGCTCAAATATACGAAAGTCATAAGAGCATCTTTCTCAGTGCTTCCAAACGAGAGAGAGAAAGAGAGAGAGGAAAAGAGACGGGGAGAGGGAGAGAGAGTAAATAGAAAGAGAGAGAAAGAGAGAGGGAGAGAGAAAGAGCGTGGGGGAGATAGCGAGGCAGAGAGAGAGTGAGAGAGAAAGAGAAAGAGAAGGGGAGAGAGGAAGAGAGAGGGGAGAGAGCGATGGACAGAGCGAGGGAGAGAGAGTGAGAGAGGAAGAGAGAGAAAGAGAGAGGGGGAGAGAGCGAGGGAGAGAGAGTGAGAGAGAAAGAGAGAGGTAGAGAGAAGGGAAGATAAAAGGGGAGAGAGAGAAAGAAAGAGAGAGAAAGTGATATCTGAAAACTCTTGTTCTAAATTCAATTCAGCCGCAAACATTTTTTGGGATTACCCTTCCCCAATCTTTTGAAAATGGCAAAAGACATTTCTTCTTTCTCCACTTCTTAAAAAAAAAGAAGCTATCGAAAGAAAGAATGTGGTGAATGTTGTAGGAATTCCATGACTTTCTGCTACAACCCGGATTAGGCACTCTGTTAAGTGTTTGTACTGGATTAACTCAAAACTAAGACCTAAAAACATTTTTTTGGCTACTGACTGGAAAAAAAGCCTTAACAGTATATTCTTGAAATATTTTGTTAATTGAAATATCAAGATTTTTATGACCAATAATAAATCCACTGTAAGTTCTGAGTGAGAGCTTCCTTTTTAGAAGGTTCTTTCTCATTTTATATATATATATATATATATATATATATATATATATAGATAGATAGATAGATAGATAGATAGATAGATAGATAGATAGATAGATAGATAGATAGATGCAAGAGGAGAAACTATTCTTATTCGTTTCGTCCTCTGAGGGATTTTGACTGATCATTCAACCACCTCGAATTTGAAAGCCTAGATAAACCAATGACATCCTCGCCCTTGTATATAAACACGCGTGAAAAACAAAATCCTACATTGCCTTGATAAAGTCCCTCAGAAATGCGTCGGCTAAGAATAGTTTTTCCTCTAGTCTCTTTTTATTCATTTTGTCTCCTCTACAGATACACTAACAATATTTTCACACACACACACACACACACACACACAAATACATACATATATATGAATAAATATACATAATACCCCACGCCGACTGTACGACTCGGATTTTCATACACTATGCAATTATCAGGTATAAATGAGCTGGATGAACTGGCCGTTTTCTGGTTAGAAATTCTGTTTCGAGGTGTTAGTTGAATGATTTAACTGCACGTACATTCATTTATTTTCATTTTTGATTATATTCATTTATATATATATATATATATATATATATATATATATATATATATATATATATATATATATATATGTGTGTGTGTGTGTGTGTATATATATATATATATATATATATATATATATATATATATATATAAAGGAAAGGGTTTATTTTATTTATTAATCCGACAGATTTTATCCCTTTAAACATTATTTTAGTGAATACTTCCATCTGAGCAGACGCTTCGTTTTATGTAATGGAGTGTCTGCTCAAATATGATTATCCACTAAAATTACGTTTAAAGTGTTTATATATATATATATATATATATATATATATATATATACAATACTGTCCAAATTATAAATTGTGTATTTGGGCAAGGATCCCTCTTTTATACAAGTTTCATTAAAAACGAGTGACAAGGCACTGCGATTAAGATTTTTTATTTCATTCTTCTTGCCTTCATTTTTTTCTGGACATAAATTATCTTGTGTATGCATTAATCATTTCAATCTAAACAAGGTGATAATGCCACTAAGACGCAAAGGGTTACTCGGTGTGAAAAATAATGAGAAAATCTTTAGAAAGAACCGGAAATACACTCCTAAACAGGAAACAACTACTCCTGTTCAAAACCGGAGAGTAGTGTAAATCGGAAGATATCTACTCATATACAGTGTAACTCGGATATAAGAGACCCGGATATAAGAGAAACCCGGATATAAAAAAGATTTTCTCTGGTCCCAAATTAGAGCCTGTGTTAATGTATATAAAATAGACCAAACCCGGATATAAGAGACTTCTTCTCCCATCCCGACAACTGTCTTATATCCGGGTTACACTATCTATCTATATATATATATATATATATATATATATATATATAACAAACCAAAGTATTGGTACAAGCTGCAATTGCAACTCCACCAACACAATGCCTGCCAAGTAACAAAAGATAATAAAATAAAAACAATAAATAAAAGTACCAAAAGAAAATAACGACAACAAAATAACGAAAAAGCAAGCATAAACAGAAAAGAACCTATGTAATGATATGCAGTGCTCAATGTCTTAATGGCCGAGACAGAACAAACACACCAACTAGTGAGTCCACTAAAAAATAAGGCAAAGTTGAGATCGCTGGGGGTAACTAAATTTTAAAAAAAAATGTTTCTTTTTATCTATATTGAAAATTTATCTTAAAAGTATTTAAAATTAAGATAGTACTTTGATCGTTTCGTCATATTCTGACATCCACTTATTTATTTATTTAACTATCACATTGTTATTATTAAATATAGTTTCGATATTGTGACAAAAAAAACTTTCCCAAAATATATATTTTGAATGGTCAAAATATTCAAACTGATCTTGAATGGGAGTCTTCAACGTCTCTAATTTGATTGGTCGAAACATCCAGCTGATCCTGATATTGAAGTCTCCAACATCTGCGTTTTCATTGGTTAAAATACAACTTTTCCTGCTACGGTAGGGGAAACACACATTTCTTTAATCAATACAGACACACCCAAAGAAATGTTTCTTGATTATTTCCACCCCAGAATCTAAAAAATATCCCTTCCCTCCTGAATATTACAAGTGGTAAACTTGAAAAATTCAAAATAGAAAACAATAAAAAAAAGTTATTAAAGATAATGAAGAATTTGTTAGACTAATGGGTCATTCAGTTCACATTTCCATATAATCACTCAGGCTTTCCATGTTGTGTCATGACGATAAAAAATAACAAACCAGGTTAAGTGGGGATTACGGATATTAAACAAGAACTTTTTTTTAAAAAAATATAAAATAAAAAAAAATTTGCCCTGGATGAAGGCATCGAGTACAAATCTTTCTTCAATATGTGTGCCTGGGGGGGGGGTGATGGTTAAAAATCAGTGGGGCGGAAATGCTGTACCAGCAATTTTTAAATTTTAATCACTGCTACATCAGCATTTTTTCGAGCAAAAACATTCACTTGGAATCCCAAAAATGAATGTTACAAAAAACAAAAAGTACACAACACAAAATTAAAAAAAAAAAAATCAATTCAAAAATAAGTTTTAGCAATATCATTCAAACTGACAATGTTGCATTTAGTACTGAAAAAAATATACAGCAGTCTTCAATTGATATAAAACACTTATTTTATATATTCATTTTTAATCAAATCTAAAAAAAATTATATATTAACATTTATTTTTATGGTTATATTAGGTAAGTAAAAAATTATAGTTACAGAAACATTTGCATTTTAAGAAATGTATAAAGACGAAAGGGCATACTGGGCATGACGACAAACTACATCCGGCTGCAAAGCCTCTGATCAGGAGGTTTTGAGGAGTTTGGAACCTCCACTTAATTGCTATTGTTCCCAGGTCCACCCTGACCCGGGGTGGTAGCACCTCTTAGGGCCCCATCTATGAGTAAATAGTTTACCCACAAACTGAGGAATGGAAGTATAAATATAGATTTTTATAGTAAAAATACCAGCAATACATTTTTGGAAAAAAAATATTACCAGCAACAGATTTTTGTATTCCGAGCAATACATTTTTGGAAAAAAATACCAGCAATACATTTGACTCGGCAAAACCCTCCTTACAAAAATACGTCAATGAAACCTGATCTACAAATTGATTCCTTACAAAGAATACATATTGTATTCATATGAAGCTATCATAAAAATTATGTTGGCATTAAATAACTCATTGAGGTGTTGCCCTAAAAAAATAGACCTAAACCTAAAGGCAATAGAGAAACTTATCTTAGCCGACACGTAGCGTCCTCTGCATCTGTTTTGATGACGTCCCTCAGAGGACGAAACGCATCGGCTAAGATAAGTCTTCTTTATTGTCCTTTTACAGATATATTCTATCTGAAATTTTAAATATTTTAAAATATTCAGTCAGTCTGTCAGTTATGTACCATGCGTGTATCACATGTATTAGGCGAACATGTATCTTTTGATACATGATTGACGAGATAGTTTTTTTTTCCCGAAATAGGTTGCCATTTCTTTCTGCGGTAGACCATTTGCCGTCCAAGGCTATAGAACCCGGTCTATCCTGCTATTTACCCATAGCTGGAGGGAGGAGAAGAGGATTCATACCTTTCTCAAAGGTATTAGCATGTAAGTGAATGTAATGGATTCGACTGGAATTTGGCTCTCCGATTCCTCAATCCGAGCCGCTATCCATTACTCTTCCTTTAAAATATTACGGAGTCTTAAATTGATATAAAATGCATATTTTATATTTAAATTTTTATTTTTAAAGATATTTATATGCAAAATTTTATTTCATATTCAGCGATAATGAATACAACAATGTAAATAGTGTAAATAACCTGCAAGCGTTTGATAAGCCGTAAAAAAATAAATCAATAAACTTCATTTTGTTTTTAGTTTAATGACAACACATTTCTTTTTTTTTTTTACAAATCTTGGTTTCAAGTAGATGCAAATAATAAGATTTAACGATGTTTTTCATTTTAATTCAATTTTTTTCTAATTCTTTTTTACATTTAGTATTGTTCGAATGGATAAAAAGTGGAAATTTATTTTTATATGGGAAGAGAGTTTATTGAATTTTACGGAAAAATGTTTGTAATTTTTTAAAACAAATAAGCACTTTATTAAATAAAACGATAATTTTTTTGAACAAATAACTACATCCTTTATTAAATAAAATGATTGCCTGTGTATTGTTTTAAACTTTCCAATTTCTATTTAATTTAATTCTTTGCTACTGTTTATTTTTTAAAAAAATAATTGAATCACGTAGTGGTCTATGCTAGTAAATAAATAGAAAATTGCTTAAAGTTTTTGTTAAAATTTAACATTTTTGTATCTTGTGTTTTTGTATAAATTAATAATTTAATAATAATTTCTAAAAATCGTCCTTTATTAAACAAAATGTATAGAATATTCTATAAATTCATTTATTAACTTTGATGTACTTTATTTATAAATAAATGAATGACGTCATGTTTAAATTGGCAACGCGAAAATATCGATGTATTAATTTTTTTTTTTGCTACGTTTTCTAATGCTAACTTATCATACTCCCTTAGTTCATTCCTTTGTTAGTACGACCGTTACGCC